ATTGTATACCTATAATGCTTAGTTCTAGCCATGCAATTTTAGCCTGAACCTTCGATAATATTGAAATATTTCATGGATAAAATTAATGATTCTAATTTTTATAAAGTTTAAATCTTGTTCTCATTATAAAATAAAATATCACCTCAGCTCTTCAGATATTTTCAGTTTGTTCGCACCTCATAGTCAACGTTTAGACTTGTTTACAATAACAGAAATTAATTATAGACATAATAATTGTATCTCAAAAACAGAAAAGTATTTTTTGTCTTATTCAAATGTTCATGTGATTATGTGTGGTTGTATCTCGAACTGTAAATATTTTATGGTTGTTGGCAAAATGCAATTCAATCAATACGAAAAGAGCAACAATAAACAATTGGAGTTTTGTATCTTGTCGGTGTTTCGAAGTTTGTTTGATCTGCCAACAGTGCAACGTAATATTGAACTTTTATTGAAAAACATTTTAAATAAACAATTACGTGTATCTAACAAAATTTAATTGCTTTCGATTTTGTTTACATTTGAAAAAGGAAAGCGTACACTAAACACTAGAGATACTGCATTTTTGGTAATTTAAGACAACGGCAACAATTGAATACATTCATTGTATCTACAGTATTTAGTGAAATATATTTCAAAACATTTCGAAGAATAAACTTCAATGCATTTACTTTGAAATTTTTATTTGTATATTTTACTTAAAATGTATCTGAAATCTTTTTTTGTGTTGTTTGCACATTTTCTTTAACAAATTATGTCACCAAACTATAAATTCCTTATTTCACATTACCGGAAGGAATGAGTGAAAGTATCTCGACAAGGCGAATTTTATGAATGAAGCTGTCATTGGCATTGACGTGATTTAGAAGATTTACGACTTCTTAAGACTTTTAAGAACTTTTCAAAATATTTTGAAAAAAAATATTTTAATATCTTTGCGTTCGGAGAATAATCAGAGTCTAGCCGTCTATGATTTTTGTGTTATTACAAAGACTAAACATGAGATAATCAAATTATTTTTAATTAATTTGTTTAATAATCTTGTCGAAAATTTTCATTTTCTTGGTTTTGAGTACGACGAGGTGGAATTTGACAGGTGAAATATATGCAAAAATTTTCCTAATAATTTTCACAAGCAATTTAATGACAATTTTATCAGGCATGTGGGTGGATTGACAGAGCGTTGGTGGACCTCTTAATTAAAAGCAAATTGTTGATAATTTATTAAAAGATTTTTAACTTTGCTACTTTTATGTATTAAATTTGTTTTATGAAAAAAGAAGCCAATTTTTTTGTTTTTATACTTTTAATAAAAGCATTCGTACTTATACACCAGTTTAAATAAATTAAATCCTGAAAGTAAAATCTGGTTAAGATCTAACGATGTCATTCAATACAAAAGACGATTTAACGCTGCCATTATGATTTCCTGAACACACCAGTTTGGCAGCGGGTATCATTGCTACATAACGCTGTAAATTTATAAAATTTTCGAGATCCATGTAAAAGTGCACATAGAAATTGCCGTTAGATGGCGTTTGTATTCATTCGGTAACAAATTTCATTAAAAACAGCTATTTTGAATAACTTTTTTCATTCAAATTACCTGTGAATAGCTTGGTTTTTGCGATTCTACTTTTCTATGATGCAATCCCATATAAAATCATAAATTCCTATTTTAATTTAAATTATTGATTACAATGTTGGAAGAATCTTCTGTAATACGTGTAACTTGTATTAGTTATCCAATACTTTCAATGCCAGTCCAATCTTAAGTATTGCACAGCCAAGATATCTATTTACTTGCGTTACAAAACCCGATTATAGTACAGTTTTATCTTACGCTATAATCTAAAACAGCTTTTACTTAGAATTACACAAAATGTTCCCGAAATATGCTGTTTCATGTCCAAAAACAGCTCTCTGTCTCTGGAACGCATTTTCGCAGAATCGTTGCATTCCATACTTTTTCTCCCAAGAGACTCTGAGTACTCGCCGTTAACACAACACCCCAAATGCTTCTAATTTGTTTGTTGATTTGACTTTTGGTCTTCGGGCGTCGTTACGATACGTAGCTATCGAGGTACCAGCTTTTAAACTTATAAATTTATATATTAAAACTAGTAATCAAGAAGTACATTCACTTGTTGTTACTCGTCGTATTATTGGTATGCTATTGTATTTTCATAACTGCAAACTTACTGTAGAATCTGTACTCTAAAATAGCATTATAAGCTCTCCCAAAGGTTCAAGGTGGTTTTAAATCTTTGAGTTTTTCCTTATACGATAACACAATGGGCCTATAAACCTAAAAGCATTCCTTGGATCGCCAGTATAACCCAACTTAACCTATTAGCAACATCATAATTAAAATAATATATCCATTATTCGTCGTAAAAGCGTAGATTTAAACAAAATGGAATAATTTATGAATTAAAAATTCAGAAAAGCTTTGATGGTCAACGTTTACGAGAGCTTTAAAACTTTAACCCAAAATCAAGTGTTCGATTTTAAGATTACAGATATTAATAGTACTTTACTAAACCATAATGATGCCTTCCTAAAGTATTATAATTGTTGCAACAAAAATGTGTAAACGAGTGGTATAATTGTGTATTTTATTAATTTACAAAGATACTGTGTAACCGAGGAAGTCTGTATTGTAAGATAGCAAACATTATGATCCTTAAATGTTGCCGAAACAGTGTTGCCAAATGACAAAATGGATAATTCTTCATATGGCAAATGAAACTTGATCCCATAAATATATGCTTGAGATCATATAAGGTTACTTATACTATTTTTAAGCGACTACGATATAACAAACACTGATTGAATCTATATACTAAATCTCACTTGAGTAGAAATTAGTAACTTAAACAGAAAAAAGAAAACATTTTATATGTGAAAATAATTCCAATAATGAAAAGTATCAGATTTTTATCTGTTGAGCAATCTTTTGAGTTTTTCAGTAAAAAGTAAAAAGATTTATAATTTTTTTTTACAAAATTTACTTGTCTGTATTCAATTTATGATTTTTATTTAATTAAAATTGTTATTGTTCTGTAATTTCTTTTTTTTTTGTTTTGTATATTATATGTCGCCATTTACGTAATAAAAGTACCGTCTGTCCCTTTGTCTATATACGTATTCTCGTAGTACTTTTGGTGCGCAAATGGCTGCATTTGTAGTGCAACGTGAACACAAAAGATACTCTGAAATGACATCACACAACTTTTTAGTAAATTTATTAGCTCACATTAAAAAGATACATATATATATATATATTTGTCAGAAACCATTTTCATTTAAGTGTATTGGACATACATGCAATTTTCGTTCATTTTAAGTAATTAAATTTTTAATCAGAATTTATTAATGCAGTCTTGAATATTTATTGCAGCTATAAAAACTGCTGAAATAACGTATTAAAATTTTTGTTAGTCAAAAATGACAGGAAATTGACTATTTGACAAGAAAAGTACTCATAAATAAATGAATTTCAATAAGTAATTAGCTTTTAATTAACGTAGAAATTATATTTGCAAAAAATTTTAAAAGATTTTTAAATCCCTTGGAATAGGTGAGACCTGCGCTTCCAAACCTTCAAAAACAAATTTTTTTTGTGGACATGTATTATTAATTCCCGTAGGTCCTATGAAGAGCAAAGAGCCATTAGTAATGACGTTACTAATCATAACTCATAACCCTCAAAGTAGTCCCAAATACATATAATTTGTTTCTATTGCAATTTTTTTTAATAAGATGTTTTCTGTTTAAATAAGAATATTTTCTGTTTATATTTTGGAACCAGTTTATGTCTTATAGTATTTTTAATGTTAAATAGAACAAGTCCAGCAACACCCAAATTGTATATCCAAACAAAAAGATATAAATCAAATTTCGATGAAAATAAAAGGAATAATTTCCGTTATATCAAATTCCGTTCAGCATAGAAAATGATTCTCTAAACAAAACAGTTGCATCTATGAGGCGTTGGCCCTACGTGGGGAAGATCGAGGTGTAACTCTCATACCATCCTGTTATGTATATGAAGTTTTACTTTTATGGCACGTACAATTTCACGAATTTTTAACTGATTAACGCTATTACATATCCCTTTATTATGTACGGGGTAAACCGTTCTAACAAGTTCGTCCACAATTGACTATAAACCTTGTATTACACTTGTATTACAATTATATGGATTGTTAAAAGGCAGTCGAAATAGTCCAGTTAATGATGACCGAAAAATTGAATACTGTATAAATAATTCTTTAAAAAGAAAAATAAAGATGCCAGTAATTACGAATACACAATATTTACTACTTTAATAAAGTTAAGTATTTTTACCTGCGATTCTGCAAAGGTTTATATGAAATAAAGAGCGTTGCTCTCTAGAACGATTATATGGAACTAAATAAATCTAACATAAAAATGAGTTAAAACTTCATTCACGATTACATACAAATTCTTTTATATTCAATTGAGTATAAATGTTAATATTTAGCAGTTATATACGTGGCTATAGCTATAGTCGTCTATCTAATAAACCACTCACTTTTATTTTACTACGATGCATTCCCTAACACGGTAATACTATATGCTTTTGTTGGACCATTTTGAAATATTTTTAAAACGGATGATGTTTTAAATTCAAACTCTGAGCACTTCCTGTCTAAAAAAAAATCTTGCTGCTTGCAGTTAGAGCTAGACAGCTACAGATAAACCCGTCGTATGTTCGCTATATATGTAAAATCGTATATTATAATTTCAATGACATTGTATTGCATTTTAGTACAATGTCAGTATTGCATTTTAAAAATATCTCCACAAAAAAATTTATTCAAATTATTAATGTTATTATTTGTTAATGTTAATATTCGTTAAATAATAATGTAGTTTGTGCTGATTGTTATACATATTTAGGTTATTGATTAAATGATATTTATAATTAATGTAAATATATTCTAAATATATAAATATATTTTATTTAAATTTTGATATTATATATTAGTTATATTAATATAAAACTAGCCCCCTGAAGATTTTAATACAAATGTACTTAGATATGGAGTAACATCGCAACAATCAGTACACGGGGACTCGCCTTTATTGCAACAATTAACGCATTCTGATGAATCGTATGGTTCTACTTCGTAATCCTCGTCACTAAAATTTGATTTAAATCAGAAAATTAGAAAATTAGAAAATTAGAAAATTTTAAAAAATATTAATAAAAACGAACCTCTCATAGTGTGGAGATTCTGTAGTAGACACTTTTTCTATTTCAGTAGAATTAATTGTAACAGAAACTTCCGGAATATTTTTGAAATCCGTACCTTTCGTTGCGTTATCATCATTATTCGGTTCTTGATATTGTGGAGCTGGGGATTGATGTGATTTTTTTCCTTGTGGTTTCTCTTTCGTTGCTTTATCATCATTATTCGGTTCTTGATATTGTGGAGCTGGAGATTGATGTGATTTTTTTCCTTGAAGTTTCTCTTTCGTTGCTTTATCATCATTATTCGGTTCTTGATATTGTGGAGCTGGGGATTGATGTGATTTTTTTCCTTGAAGTTTCTCTTTCGTTGCTTTATCATCATTATTCGGTTCTTGATATTGTGGAGCTGGGGATTGATGTGATTTTTTTCCTTGAAGTTTCTCTTTCGTTGCTTTATCATCATTATTCGGTTCTTGATATTGTGGAGCTGGGGATTGATGTGATTTTTTTCCTTGAAGTTTCTCTATAGTACTATTATTAACAACTGTGACTTCGTGAATATTTTTTCGTTCCACATTATTTAGCAAAGGTAAGGGTTTACTATATAGACTTTCATCTCTATTCGTTATGATAACAGCATCATTCTTCTCCTTCTTCTCTGCACTAAAACAGAATAAAATAGAATTTAAAAATCTCAGAGACACATTTTCGATACATTAGACACTAACCTATTATACTGTGCGTGAGCAGTAGGATGATAGTTACTATTTGCGGATTGGTCTAGAAAGTTTTTATTAGCAACAGAGATATCTTGTACATTTTTGATTTCTGTATTTTTTAACAGAGGCAAAGGTGTACTATATAAATTTTCTTCTTTAAGTGTTGGAATTGTTGTTGTGGTTATAGTAGTTGTTGTTGTTCCTGCTGTTGTAATTGTTGTCGTTTTTGTCGTAATTGTTGTTGCTGCAGTTGTCGTTGCTGCTGCTGTTGCAGTTGTTGCTGTTTTTGTTATTGTTGTGCCATCTTGCAACTTTTCCTTACCACTAATTGGCATTTAAATAGACTATATACGTGTGAACACTTAATGAACATTTTAAACAGACCTGTTAGTTTGAGTGTGTTGGAATAGATGTGCTTTCTGGTTAGCAGATTGCTCAGTAGGATTGTAGGTAATAGTAGAAATTTCCTGAACATTTTCAGGTTCTTTACTTTTTGATATATGTAAAAGTTTTTCATTTGAATTTTCATTGCCAGTGGCAACCTCTCTCTGTAAGTCCCCGATTACATGAGTCAGTAAATTTAATAATATCAAAAAAATTACAATAGTTTCTCTTTTCATGAAATTCATTATTTTTTTCACAATATGACTTAAAATAACCAATTTTAAATAATTCACAAAATAATTACAGTATTTATATATATTATTATAGTTAGTATCTGTTTAAGTTCTTCTATTCCGTGATTATTGTTAACTGCTTTGACTTTAACCGACAAACTGAAACTACAGACTTAGATCAACTAAATCTAACTTAGCTTCTAATACTACAATTTTATTATTGAATTTATATTTCAGGTTTCTTATTGTTAAATTTTCATATAGATCAATTACTAATTAAAATTCACTATTTCCCAGAGAACATAACTGGCGGTTGTTATTGAATTGAAAAATACTGTAAAACTTTATTGATTTATATTTCTTATTAAACATAGAACACGAAGGCAGTTAATTTACTTCTGATATTTAATATCTATTAACATAAATTAATTTATGAATTAATTTTTATGTGCATATTTTTCAAGCATATCAACTGCATTAAATTTACTTCTCTGTAAATTAAACTGCGCATAAGTTTAAGTTTAATACAAATTCAATTTTATAAATTTTAATATAAAAAATTATAATAACTGTAATTAGGAAGTGTAGAATATTTTCTTGTTTTCATTGATATATAAAAAAAAAACAAATATTAATATAACATAATATCACTTTCTATTCGATTAAGTTTAAATATTTTTTCATAGCAGTTCTGAACTCTCAGAGCAATACAGAAAGGGCGTACAAAGAGAAGAATATACATAAAGACACGGAGGGAATATTTATATAAACAGGGGGTTATTCAAAGTATGTCTAAAAAAATAATACCTATAAGATGAATATAAATGACTTTCAGTATATTTTTTAACACATTGAAAATTCTTCATTTCCACACAACAAAAGTAAAAAAAGCTTAAAAAAGGACGATAGATTGTCCACTATAAAGCTTTACACTACCAAGACTCTACCAAGACTATATTTTAGCTATTGCCATAGCTCACATATAGTGCTACATATGCTAATTCGAATGAATGGCTCACTAACGGTAACAAACAGGAAAAGAAGTTTAAAGGACTTTGGTGAATAATGTAAGTATAACTGTCCAATAGAAGAAAGAAGAAATCGCTTTTACGGAAGGCAGGTTCATATTAGTTTTGCACTTTATTTATTAGTGTACGGATCTGTTAGGTTAAACTTTTATAACTAAAACAAAACTTTATGTAAAAAATCAATCTCTTAACAGCAACCTAACAGCAGCAAGGAATGTAGTTCAAGTTTTCGAGAGAACCGAACAAAAACAAAGCAGATCATCCAGCATTTCTTTTATTTCCGGTTTCTTACAGTTTCTTCATTCAACACTGCTAGTGAAGCTCAGTTTATACGCATAAATTGGTACCATGTACCCTACTTTTCGAGTACTTAAAATACCAAGTGTATCTTACAGATCTTTCGCTTGAACAACAACATAAATCAACACCTGTCTATAGCATATGTTCGTCTAGTTTTCTACAAGGTTAATGCAAATCAATTAAGTTTCGTCTCTTAATGGGAGTATTGTGGTGGCTGTGGTTCAAACTCAGAGTTGCACTGGAATAATGACTGTATTCATTTCTGTAATTCGATGTAAAGTTTGCGTCTCCAACTGGGTGCATTGGCCCAAACAATAGCAGAACTATATTCTAACGATTTGCTTCAATTGGTGCCGGCGAAATTTCTTGGAATTCCAATGTGGTATTCATCGTCGCAATATACTGATACATGTATTAAGAGCCCCGTAGTTTTAGTAACAGGAAATCTTGTTAAAAAGCAATAGAGACTGCCTGAAACACACAACAGTATTCAGGGAGCTTATACGACTCACACTCATGTCAAAAATGGATGAAGAGTTTGAGAACGACGAGAAGACTATGTTGAATTAGGCCTAAGCACAGCGGATATCAACTTACTTCAGCAAAGTAGACGTCGTCTTTAACTCCTTCCTAGAATTTTAACCCATCTGTAATGATGTTGACGAGGTATTATTCTTTGATACCAAATCTTTGTAGTATCTCTCATTTTTCACAATTCTTTTAATTATTTATCGATATTGCATAGTCTTTATCAAATAGTTTGAACCATGTACAGCGTAAAGATTAATATAGCTTACTTTTGGGTCAATATTTATAACAATAATTAAGCTAAGCATTTAATTGACTTTTTAACTTTAAGTAAAAAATTAAATTTTTTTTATTGTGGTAACATTGGGCAATAATTTTACTTCTCATTGGATTTTTTCTCATTTCTCAAAACTCATCTAAACAACAAATGCTGCCAATTGCAAATTAATTTAATTAATTCCGTTGATGGAAATTATCACCAAAGATGATGGCGAATGCAGTGCGTGCTGCAATTTATGCTGGTGTAATTTATGCGCTCAACTGTACTGGTGATTTCCATATTGCCAATAGCGAAATGGGTTGCCATCATTAATATTGTCGCACACGAAAATGCACTTTGACGTTCATTAATTTCGTTGTAATTAAATCGCGTAAATGATTGGAATTCTCGCATTTTATGCATATTATTTCGAACGCCCGCGCAGGAAGGGCTCAAATTGACTGTGAAAATGAGCTGTGAGCGGCATGAAGTTGTGGAAAATTCTATAATCGAACAAAATTGAGTATTAAAAAACTTAATTTTCATAAACGACCATATCGTTAATGTCAAAAGCAAATGCTATACATCACAATGAATTATGGCATTTGCTCAACTAATGCAACTTAAAAGTAATTCAAATTTCACAATAAAATTAAATTTGAATAAATTTTCTAAAAATTATAAAAGGAATATATATATGTTATAAAGGTTTAAGTAAAATAAAAGAAGTAATAAAATGTGAACAGCATGCCGTGAAGGTACGAGAGAAATGGTTTTGAAATAAATAGTTGCTCATAAATCACAACTTAACTCTAATTAAAAAATCTCCTCTAATGACCCGCAAGGCAGGCATATTGAAATTTTTATGTGCGTCAGTAATTTAAACGCCCATTTCGGTTAGTTGCAGTCATAAAAACTACAACAGTTATAATAAAACTTCATTTACTACAGAATATTACAATAAAATAAAAAAAGGAATATTAAAGACGACGTCAAATAATTCTCTCACAGGGTTATGTGTTGGTTTTTAATGCACTCTACATATACGGTGAAGTCAAGTAGTAATGTCTTCAGATAAAGGCAATTTGTGCTCAACTTTTGAACTGGAACATATGGAGTGACTTCATCGTAAACACAACATTTTCAAATGTCAAAAGGTCATATATTGCAGACACGTTTCAAACAAATAGAGATAAATATAAATAAAAAAATAATAGAGTGGATTTTAATGTAGCAAGGTTTGATCCAAATGGTGGTAATATACTATAAAAAATATTTTTTGACAATGTAAACATTTTTTTAATCCAATATACATAATATAAAAGCAAAAAATGTAGATTTTAATAAAATTTTTTGATCTTAACACAATATTCAAATTGTTAAAACCCAAGTTTGGTTAAGTAAATACCTGAAGAAAAGTGTGAACGAAGACCAAAACTCAATTGTTGTACAAACGTTGCGTTCAATTTGAAGAATATGAACTTCAGAAATTGAAAAACCTATATTAGTGAAAGATCCTTAGCAAATTAATATGCCGACTAAATTCCACCATGTCCTGCACAGCCAAAGATAGATACTATTCCTTTCTAACAATTAACCATAATAATAATTCCGTTTTATTTTTATTTACTTAGTTATTACAATCCATTTCTTAGCCTGATTTAGCACCCTTCGCTAGACTTCCCTTCTAATTTCATTATTTCTACAGTCCATTAACTTATTAACTCCACCTGTGACATGGTGCAACAAGCCAACATATTCTTTTATCGGTTACCGCTTCGAATACGTTTATCACTCATGCATAGTTTCCCATATTTACGACATGACCAAACCAATGACAAATTATCATTATAAAGCTTGTGTTTCATATATTTACGGTAGTTGTCGCCAAGTCTTATAGAATCACAGATCTTGCTGCTAGTATTGCTCCTACATTCTCTAATAGCATCTACGTTTTCGCTACATATACCTTCTGATGGTTCTGTTAGATGGACACATTGTATTTTTTATTGAGCCTATAGCAGTAACAATTGACGTAGTCCATAGTTTTTTAATGTAATTACCTGGCATAAAGGGTTAACAACACGGCGCTTTTAAAACACATTTCTGTATAACACAACAATAACACTCCCATTAGAGATTCGGCACCAATTGCAGGTATATGTTTAGTTATAGTTTCCTACATGGGTAGAAATTGAGCCCATCTAATGCCTCTACTGTTCTACACCTGATGATGAAATCTACCCTACTTATTGAATGAAAGTAACGAATGTAGTCATACCTGCGTAACTTTAAGTCCGCCAAGTTTAGTAGGTCAAAACTGCTGAAGCTGGTGATACTGTCCCCGTAATACTAGATTTACACCTCCGCTCAGATACCGTAAGTGGAACTCACTTGTTACTATTTATACTCCAACCAGTTTTGACTTGTTCCTATTCTATCTTAGTCATCTTTTACCTGTCTTAAGAAGTCTTACCTCGGGAATATTCTAACCACTCTTCCGTAATCACCATTTAATAATGGTTTTTGTCCGTTGATCTCCACGCTGATATAGTGATCAATATAATAACATTGTTGTTACTTACTCAGGTGCCCAGAAAAATAAAATCCCTAACAATATCAACGTAATTATAGGCGCCAACAACTCGATATCTGAACGAGGCGTATTTCTGCCAATAACCGGCATTTACTACTGTGTATAGAATAGTACATAATCTCATGGTAATAGTATTTTGAAGAGGAATGCATCCAGGATGTAGCCCACAGCTTTATTATGACTAATATCACAATTGTTGAGATTCTGTTTACACAAACTAAGTGAATAGCCTGTCATATCAACGATATTTCAGTTATTAAAGTCCTGTTGCTACAAGTTAAGTGGATATTCTGTTATAATACTGCATTTCCTGATGTCCT